CTCCCAGTGTGTGCTCTCGGGCAGCGAAAGTGGAGAGTAAACTGTTCCGCTCCGTTGGTGCTTCCAGTGTGAAGTAGTGGTTAGAGTCACATCAGCTCTATGCTTGGTTAGCCTAGAATTTGAGACAAACCGTAGCACAAGAAAGGATTTAGCTCTGCCAGTCAGTCTAGCCATGCTCTGCTGTGGCCTTGGCCTGAGCAGTTTTGGGTCTTGCCAATCACGGCACACGGTTTGTTGGGTGTGATGTTCCAACAGAGAATAAAAAACCCCAGAGATGGCTGCAACTCCTTTTAAATGGCTTTGGCGTCAACTTTCGACTATTTAGAGTTGGGTTTTTCTTTGAGACAAGAGCAGATAGAGGTACCTAAGTCCTTTATTTAGAAAAACGTCTTCAGCGGTGTATGGTGGATTGCCCCGTTGACTGGCATCCATAGCAGTGAGTACGTCATGTTGTTCGTTGTCCAATAACATGCAGAGACAGTTTAAAAAAAACATAGATTCTGCCCCATGACTGAGCTCTGTCTACGGGGCGTAGTCAGTCAATATATTTCCATATATGGTTTGATGGTTCCCATTATGGTTTGCCAGGCTATGCTCAGATAGGTTTGGATCTTTGAATAACTTTCTGATCTTCTTCTCTTCCTTCTCTCAATGAAATGCTGCTTGTTCTGAAGGTGGGAAAACTATGATTACACAAACCAGGCGCCCAGGGCAAATTTGACAAAATATGGAGTCCTTTTCTGGCTCACTACCACATCATTGCTGTTTTATACGGCATTCTTTACCTTCTTACTCCAACTCAGCTCTGTTTTGTACAGCACTCAGTGAAATATGTGAGAGCACTATCTTTCTCTGTGAGCCCAGGAGGGTCAAAGTCTTCAAAATCAACCATAAATCTGTATTCTTTATTATTTTATTGTTGTGTATTTTGTTGTTTTAGTATTTCATGTTTTAATAATGAAAACATAAACTAAAAAACAGCTGATTAAGCAAATTTTGAAGCAATATTTATTTACAAGGCATTTGTTGTGAAATGAATGATTGATTAAGACCTCTGTTGCACGTTGACCAGTTGACCATCACACAGACACACGTGCATATTGTTCTTTTACCTGTTATATTCAGCTTAAAGTTAAATGTGCAGCGCTCTTTGAAACATTCAGAACAGTTGATTTTCAGTTTTTAGTCTTGTTGCCAGCACATTTATTGCTTTAGACTCCGACGTGATAATTTATTCCACTTCTTTACTTTCAAAATCTTCTGGTTTGGTTTCACATTATGTTTTCGGTCATTGTGCACTCTGAAGCCTTGGCCAACAATCTTTCGCATTTGGATGAATCTGAACTGACAGAACTTTTTTTCTTCAATCTTCTGTCATTTAAAAAACAAAAACCCTTTTTAATCTAATACCACTGAAAACTATATTTGCTATCAAATGCACCCATATTCCAGTTGCTTTGATAAGGAGCCGTTTGTTACTTTTTTCTTCAAGTAAATTTTAGTTTTAAAGTTAAAGTACCATAGTTGTCACACACACTGATGTGTCGGCGAAATTCGCTCTCCGCATTTGACCCATCCCCTTGGGGAGCGGTGAGCTGCAGACACGGCCGTGCTCTGGAACTATTTGGTGGTTTAACCCCCCAATCCAACCCCGTAATGCTGAGTGTCAAGCAGGGAGGCATTGGGTCCAATTTTTTTCAAAGTCTTTGGTACGACCCGACCAAGAATCGAACCCTGATCTCCCAGTCTCAGGGCGGACACTCTACCACTTGGCCACTGAGCTGGTTAAATGTCCATATAATATTCTAGGCTTAGTCTAAACAGGGCTATTCAACTCGAGAGTCAGTATCCAGCACATTTTGGTTTTAATACTGCTTCAACACACCTGATTACAATCAGCAGCTGATTAACAGGCTTGTACAGAGCCTGATGAGCTGCTGCACAGGTGATTCAACCACTGAATCAAGTGTGTTGGACTAGAGAAACCAGTAAAACGTGCTGGATGCCGGCCCACGAGGCCCGTAATTCAATAACCCTGGTGTAGAATATTGTTTTCAATGATTTTGACATCTTAAAAACGAGTATGATCTTTTAGTTATTGAAGCAAAATGATATTAGAACCTCATGTTAACCTTTGTGTAGTATTTTATGAAGTCATTTTTTTTCATAATGAATGGGAAGGTCCAGATTCATTGTCATTTATTGCCATTTTACAGCATATCGAATAAAATGAGACATTAATGAGCAATTTAAATCAAGTCCTGAATGATTCTGACAACACATGCAGACATGATCATAATTTAAAGGAGACGCAATATGAATTATATTCTTAAATTATAATCTTTCGATGGTCAATACCAAACGTGTTGATGAGTGTTTTGAGTTTTTTACACTAAATTCACCTCACATGAAGAGATTCTAGCATATTTGTTCTTGACACTTTCTGTACAGCTGCTTCAGGTCTGTCATTTTAAGACAACATGCTTAGGCCACGCCCACCCACCCCCCACTCAGGGGATCCGGGAGGGGCTAGTATTACATGAGAGAGTTGGTTCTTTTCTTCATTCTCAATTTGTGACATCACAAACAGTGTCTTTTTGAAGCGGCTTGTGACTCTACAGAACATGGATGGATGTATTTTTTTATTGAGAGACCCACATTGCAGCACAAAAAGATGCAAAAGGTGAATTTTTCACAATACGTCTCCTTTAAGAAACAAACATCTGCACACTAACACTGACCCTTATGCACTTAAGGTTAATAAGTTTTGATGGCTTTAATAGGGTGTTCTCTGTGACATATTTTTATGATTCTTTTTTTATTCCCACATCAAGTTTATTGGACTTCAGGGGACAATCTTCGCTGAGATAAAGTGTTCTTCATTCAAACTTGAGGATATAATTGAGTTTCTCAGTCATCTGTTACAACATTTTCCAGTTGGTCCATGCTAATGTCACTTAGTTCATTAAATAATTAAATGAACGCAATTTCATTCAAATATTCTCAAATTCAATCAATTAGTCAACCAATCAATCAATCAATCAATCTTTATTTGTAGCGCCTTCCACTGCCTTTGCAGGAGCCCAAGGCGCTGAACATAAAATACAGGAAAAACACAGATAGCATTAAAAATGAGGTAAAAACAACATACAGACATAAAAGCACCATACAAAATGTAAACAAGGAGCATAAAAGCATACAACCAGGTCACATAAAAGCCAAACAATAAAAATGAGTCTTCAAACGACTCTTAAAAGCATGCAACAAAGGTGACAGTTTAATATCAAGTGGAAGCTCATTCCAGAGAGAAGGAGCCAAGACCGAGAAAGCCAGATCACCTCTAGACCTGTACCTAGTTTGTGGGACAATCAGTAGTTCCAGATCAGCCGAACGTAGAGTCCATGATGGGGTATGCCTTTTTTATTACAGCTAACAAGTATGGTGGAGCACCACCATAAAGAGACCGGAAGACATAGCACATAACTTTAAACTTAGCCCGAAAACCTACAGGGAGCCAATGTAATGAGGCCAGCACAGGAGTGATATGTGCCGACCTCCTTGTCCCTGTCAGAAATCCGGCCACAGAGTTCTGAACCAACTGTGGATGTCTCAGTGCTGCCTGACTTTGCCCAACATATAAAGCATCGCAGTAGTTGAGCCTGGATAAAACTCCATATGCGCACGAGACAAGGGCTTGATTTTGGTAAGCCGCCGCAGGTTAAAAAAGCAGGCTCGTACCACCATGTTGATGTGAGCTTCCAGTTTGAGTTCTGCATCCAGCCTCACCCCCAGGCGGGTGACAACTGACTTCTGGTAGGGAGAGAGAACATCCAAATTGGGAGCAAAACTCACACCCACAACAAATTGCTGTTTCCTGTACTTTCCTTTCTACCTGAAACCATTTGTAGATCATGCTGTCCTTAAAAGCACATTCTTTCATAAAAGCACAAAAATAAGCATATAACGTAGGCGTCTGTGGTGCTGCTTCATTTCAGGTTGACTTAGATCTGTGCTTTTACCTGTCATGGTCTGAGTCTGCATCTCCCCTCATGTTTCTCCTTATGTTCTCCATCCCTCTCTAGGATCTCCTTTTGTGTCTCCTAGCTTCCTCATGTGTCCTTGTTTGCGTCTTCCTCTTGTGTCTCCTGGTGTTCTCCATTTGCCCCCCCAGATCTTCAGCCCTCTAGGTTTCCCTCCTCAGGCATCCTCCTCCCAGGTCCTGTGCTCCCTTGGCCCCCTTTTAGTCACGCCCCTGTAGTTTTTCTTTCTGTAGTGTTTTCCTTTAGTTTCAGCTTCCCCCTTAGAATATTAGTTATGTTTGCTGCCCTTCTGGTTTTTAGGTTTTTCTCTTAGGTCATTTTCCTTTAGTTACAGCTGTTGGTGTTATTAGTCTCTTTAGTGTGTTTTTCCCACCGGTGTTTGGGTTTTTCTCCCCCCTTAGATTATTAGTTATGTTTCCTGCTCTTCTTGTCTTTAGATTTTATTCTTAGGTCATGTTAGTTTCCTCCCTGATTAGTAATTAAGTTCACCTGCTCTCTCTCTCCCCACACACCTGCAGTTCATCTCCCTATCATCCTCCCCAGTGTTTATAACCCTGTCTGTGTCTCTGTGTGTTTGTTGGTCCATTGTGTTTCTGTCATACTTGTCTCGTTTGCTCTCCAGTGGTTCCAGTGCTTCTAGTGTCTCTAGCTTCTAGTGTTTTTGGACCTCTGATTTTGTCATTTTGGGTTTTTGGCTCCCTGCCTTTGAGTTATCCCTAAATAAAGGATTTTATTTCATCTTCCACCCCTGCCTTGTCCGTCTGGTTCTCTGCATCTTGGGTCCTAACTTCCTCCTGAACCAACTCGTGATATTACCGATGCTATTATTCTAATATTTGTTGCCATGGCGCTGTGCTGTGTTCTTGGTCTGACCCCTCTTGCTTACAGTTGTCTCCCATCAGAAGTAAAACATTTCTCTGCCAGTTCCTGCATGCAAACTCATAGTCCTGTCCTTTTCAGGTTCCCACGATTCCTTCAGCTTCTACATTGATGAGGCGTCTCCGGTGGGGCCCGAGCAGCCAGAGACGGTGCAGAACTTTGTGTCCGTGTTTGGCACGGTAGCCAAGAAGCTCATGAGAAAGTGGCTGGCTACACAGACGATGAACTTCAACAGCCAACTAGAGGCTGGGATCCGCTTCTTTGACCTGCGCATCTCCACCAAGCCCCGCGACCCTGACAACGAGCTGTACTTTGCCCACGGACTCTTCAGTGCCACGGTTAGCAGAGAGAACGCAGTTTATAAGTCTTCTTTATACAAATGACTATTTATCTGTGCTTGTGGTTGCTAAGCTATGCTGTTCTACCCTACTCTTTCACATCTGTCACCTTATTTAACTGCATGCTCAAGAGCAGACTGAGAGCTCAATCATGCAGCGCACTTCAGAGAGTTCGAGTATACACGTAGAGTCCCTGTTACTCAAACATCTAGATTTTAGGGTCAGTAAAGTCATTATTAATACAGGCGATGTTCACGTGTTTGCTTCCAGGTACGAGAAGGTCTCGAGCAGATCAGTACTTTCCTCTCATCGCACGCCAAAGAGGTTGTTTTCCTGGACTTCAACCACTTCTACGGCGTGCAGAACCAGCACCATGAAAAACTGGTGGCCATGTTGCAAGAAGTGTTTGGAGAAAAACTCTGCCCGGCTGTTTTTGCACATGAGGTATGAACAGAATAGAATTATTAGCTTGTTATCCATTTAATCAGAAAATATTGCATCTTTTTTACTCTAAAGCAGCGTGCCTTCTTGTTTTGTTCGTGTGTTCAAAAGGCTTTTAATGATTAGTATTCTCCCTCAACCCTGCAGAGAAGGCAGTCTGAGTTTTGATCACTTGAGATGCAATATGATGGTTATCATTTGACTGATCGTGGTTTACACTTTGAAGATGTCCTTCTGAAGCTTCTAGAGCTCAGATTGACAAATTTGTTTGTTTTTAAGTGTTTATTTACCAGTCCAGCCCTTTTGGTCCCTTCTTTTGTGTCAGAAAATTGTGGAAGGAGGTAATCAGTCAAAAACTCGTCAGCTCCTTTACACCTCAAAGTTGTCAACAGCAATATTTTTCTTCCGGCCGAATAAGAATGATGTAAATAGGAGCAAAACTATTCAGTAAATGAAGCACAATTAAGGAAAACAATAATTTCTAAAACACATCTTATAAACTCATAGATGCCGGTGTTTATTTATTGATAATTAGTGCGATTTCTGAATGTCCCTGGGTGGTTTGAGTTGATTTATGCAAAGACTGTAAGAAACGTGTTTTACAACGTGTTTTTCTCGTCCTGGGGTTTTGTAGCCTAGTGAACTAGACCAAATCCTTGCTTTGCAAAGTTTTTTGCTTTAGAAACAAGTAAGTAAGTAAAGTTTATATTACAGGGAAAAAAATCACAAAGTACTTCACAAAGAATCACATCAAAATAAAAGAAAGGATAAAAAACAAACAAAAACAAAAAAACAAATTAATTAAATAATAAAAATTAGGTTAAAGTTCTAAACAGTTTCCTGCCTCTTCCTCCTACTGGTTGAAAGCAGAATTACAATCGTCAATGGCAAACTGCTAGCCTTTAAATTACCTACTGGCACTGTAAACTGCTAACAGCCATTAAGCAGGCAAAGAGTCAAGCCTATAGGCACCTACACATCCCACAACTTCATTCATTCGCTGACAGCCGTTTCCTGATCACTAACGGCCTTCGCTGCCAGTGTTTCTCACCGTTTTTACTGTTTTTTTTTAAGAATCACAGAACGTTGCGCGCTAGGATGATGTCGACGCCAAAACAACCAAAACAAAGAGTAGGCTCACCTCTTACATCAGGAAGAATCCGCATGTTTCGAGCGTTATCCGTTCTTTCATAATCCGTTGTCGAATTGTGATTGGCAGACGCTTTTCCTGTTCGTGCCTCACTTTTTTACAGGAACGGCCCAAAACGATCTAACACATGGATGGTCTGCTTCCTGATCCCGTGACGTGTGCAGATCGGCTTCAGGGCTGAGGTGTTTGTTCTCTCAGCGCGGGGGCTCGTTCCGATGCTCAAACAGTAAAAAAATCCAAATGACGACTTTAGTCGTCATTGGCAGTGAACAGTTGGATTTAAAATGATGACTTTAGTCGTCAACAGCAGTGAATGAGTTAAGTGTGATTTCTGGTCAGCAGCGAGCTGCAATGTGCTGTCCAAGGTGAAGTTGGTCAAGTTACCTACACAATCACTGAAACCTACTTTTAAAGCCATATGCAACTTTTTAATGTTTTAAAATAATTTTCTTGAGCCAGTATGTGCTAAAATGACCCTTTACAGGGTTAATGAAATGTCACTCAGACCCACGCCCTGTGGCCAGAAAACCGCACTTGCAACTTCAGAGTTGCTGGTCTGGTCCCTGTTGGACTTAAGAAATAGGAGCCGTCATGCTTGGTGCTTCCATCTGCTTCCAGCACATTTCCTGCACGTTAAAAGTCGTGAACACAGCTGATTTGTTTGAATTGGTGATAAATGGCTCCTGTAGATACTAATGAAGGCTGGGGAGACATTTCAGCAGTTTAAGATGTTACAAAATGAACCCACAGCTTTAAGTGTTAAAATTGTTTAGTTTAGTTACTTTATATTATTTTTAGTTATTTAATGTGTACGACAGGCTTATTTCTTTCAAAAAGAAAAGTCCAATTTGTTAAAGTCACACGCAAACGGCTCTGTTTACAGAAATAAATATGATGGCTGCAGTGTTTATTCATCAGTTTGGCAACTGTACAGTCGGCACCAGCAAAATTTTGGCAAATTAGTTTGAACTTCTTTAAATTTTGCTCTGATTCTGTAGCCACGTTTGTCTGCGCTCTCATTCAGCTATTTCTTTGGCAACACGCCATTTACTGTATGATCCTACAAGTTCGTCTAGAACAGAATTGTCTCTCCGTGTACCAATCCAGTCCAAAACCTGACTTTCTGTCCATTGACTGGCTCTGTCTCTAGTGTGCGTCATGCTTGTTTGAGCATTTGCGTCCTCCAGCACATTCAAGACAAATTTAACACAACATGACCATTCTGACTGAAATCACTTTCAAAAACTTTAGATATGCATTGGATTTAGTACGAAATATGACGGGGACCTGGTTCGGATTTGAGAAAATTCAGATTTTTGCTTTTCAGAAAGAGAGATCAGATACGGGCTAAAAAGTTTAACTTGATGTGCTTTTTCCTGCAGCGTGAACATAGCCTCAGAGTGCAGTCTGCACACAACCGTGCATATGCTCTATTCTGAGCTCACAAATAGAATAGAATAGAATTTATTAATCCCACAGTGGGGAAATTCACTCGTGAAAGCAGCACATACATTTAGAGAAAAGGCCGAAGAAAAATAAAGTAAATAAGCTATTTTTGTAACCTTCAACCATTAAAGACAATTAATACAAAGGAAACTGGGTTTGCAGATCTATGCAGCATAAGGGACACAGATGTACATCCAGTATTGCACAAGTATACATACTGAGTGTTGCATGGATGTTATTGTGTACCAGGATAATACCAGTACCAGTTTACCTGAGGACTGTACACTCACTGCAGAAGACATGGCTGTGACTTTTTGATATAAAACTGCCTTTAAATCATTATTTCTCCTACATTTAGTGGATATTATTTTTTTCTGGTTGGTCTGAGTTGTTTTTTATTTTATTTTTATTCTTCTCAACCATTTTGTTCTCAGGTGTCTCTGAAGTACCTGTGGGAGAAGGAGTACCAGGTGCTCGTCTTCTATCATCACCCTATGGCGCTGGAGGTGCCCTTCCTGTGGCCAGGCCAGATGATGCCATCTCCGTGGGCCAACACCACCGACCCAGAGAAGCTGGTTCAGTTTCTGCAGGCATCTGTAACCGATCGCAGGTTTGTTAGCCTAATAGCTAGGCCATGTGTTTGGTTTGGCTCTTCCAGTTGTTTAATGTAATGTTTGGTTGTTTTGCTTTGCATCTGATCTGTTTTTAAGCTTTATGTACATTGTCTTAGATTTATTTTTAGTTCATTGCATCCATCAGTTTCAGTTGATTGTTAGCTAATTTCCTTAATTTGCTCATTTCTTGCTACAAGTAAAATATTGATAGCTTTATATAAGCTTAAAGGGGCATTATGGAAGTTTGACAGCCAAATCATGTATAGAAATAATAAATGTCTTCTTCATACATTCTCCTGCAATGTCCTGGTCCTGTAGAATGAGCCCTGGCATTTTTACTGTGATTGCCTGTTTTTCTGTAAAATCACAGAAAAAGAGAGATGCTCGGGTCGAGCAGGCTGCTTCATGCGCGTTCACGCTCAGGCATAGCCCGTAGCATTTGCTATCTGTAGCTTTAGCAGCAGAGAGAGAGGCAGTGCCACTTTGTCGCTGTTCCTAACGCCTAGTGACAAAGCTAGCTACATTTCTGAGGACCCTTAGCTACTTTCTGTAGAACTTTCTTCTAGATATTTCCTGCAAATTAGCAACAAAATAGCCATTTCTGCTCCGAACCGTTCTTTGGATTGACGTTGTTTCAGCTGTCATCAAGGATATAAAAGTTACAGATACTGTGAATGTTACTAGAGTGTAGCTGTTACGTCCCTCAGCTCGCTAGGAGTGATGTGTAGGAGGGAGTAAAAGCTGTTGTGTGTAGGTTTAATAATAACAAAGTAAATGTGTCTCCAACAAAGGATTTTATTAACAAACACAAAGAGCCTGAACAAACAAAATGGAAAAAGGACTAACATAAAGCGCCAAGCCAAAAGGGCTGGGAGGAGGAAACTAACTGAAATATTCAATATATATATAAAACACTAATTTTAACAAGAGACGTCCTGGTAAGCAGAGACGCTCGGGGGTAATACAAAAGGGGGAGTCGAAGGCCAGTCCAAAATCAGTTACCAGAAATCCTAATTATCACGAAAGTAAACCACTTAATTACCGAAGTACCGCGAAGCTAACTCACACACAAGCACACGAGGAGAAGAGAGCAGTATGAACACTTCCGTGCCCACACTTCCCTGTACCTTCTGCCTGAATGAAGGCAAGAGGGCAGCTTTTAACAGCTGATCCAGGTGATTATCAAATTACCTGCAGCTGGGCACTGGGAGACAGAGGAGGCAGAAGCCACTGAGGCCATCTTGTGGCCGAAAAGGGGCACTGTACATAACAGTAGCTCACCTTGTAAGATGACTCCCATGCAGAAGACCTGGGTTCGATTCTGGGTGTGAACATAGTTTATTTAGAGTTTATTTTTTACATTAATGGTATATTTTTTACAGTAAGATGCCCAAATTTTTATTTGGGACTCGCCGAACGGCATTGAATTCACAGATAAAAAAGATGTGGGTTCAACTTTCATTTTGGAACAATTTTTCAAGCAAGGGAAGGGAATGATCTGAGCATGCAGGAGGACTGACCCATCTTAAACCTTTGTCGGCTGCAGGGGCGGCGTTAGGCCCGGCTACTTGGGCTGAAGCCCCGAATCTTTAATGAAAAGCCCCAGATCTAAATCGTGGAAGTAACATGCAGTACCAAAGTCCAACAGAGAGGGAGCAGCTAGCAGTAGTTTGTATACAGCCTGCCTGAGCCTCCACCACTGAAGAAGAAGCCCTTCAGCAGCCGGCTTCTTCTGCAGTGCCTGGTTTTTTCTGCTCTCTGCCTGAAACGCATGTGTGAAGATGGACATACGGACGTTTTTTAGACCAAAAGTACCGCGACAGAACCCCAGCTTTGATACTGGTGTTGACTCAGGTTTGTGAGTCTTACTTGAAAATATTTATTGTGCTGCTGGTTTGCCTAAAGTTAGCTTACTATCAGGTAAAGTTGTTGGAGAAAGAAAGGGAATATTTACTATCATCTCACACTAAACACTAACAGGAACAATATCTGCCCTGAATATGCTGAATATGTAGCTTCAGATTAAAAATTATGTGGTACAAAAGAAATATATATGTTGACTAGTGCGTGTCACGTGTGTGTGTGTGCGCGCGCGCGTGTGTGTGTGTGTGTGTGTGTGTGTGTGTGTGTGTGTGTGTGTGTGTTGTGTGTGTTAAGCCCTGGATCTTTTTCAGTCCTTAATCCGCCCCTGGTCGGCTGTGCTGAAAAGAAAGGTACAGAACCAAATTATTTAATTAATTAGCTGCACAATCTCCCCCCCCCCACACACACACACACAAGGGACTGTCTCAGCTGTTATTTTCATTAAGGAGTGTGCACGTACAGCATGCGCGCCTCGTACACGAGCCTACTATTGAAGCTGCCGTTACACTTTTGACCTGAGGGGGCAATCGCGAGCATAAAAATTCAAATCTCCGTAAAGTCCCTTTAAATAAAGAAAATACAGTTAGCAGGTAATTTATGGTGTGAAGTAGGAAGATTATTTTCTCTCCTTGTTGATCAATCAAAAAAAGTACGTAGTTGAAACCAAATTCTGAACTGCAGACAAGAAAATAAAAAATGTAAAAGAAAAAAATTACTTTCAAAACTAAATGTTCAATTTTTACAAAATACCAACAGTAGGCATGTCCTAATTAATATTTATTTATGTCTATGCATGTTATCTGTTTTGCAAAAGGTAAAAAATAAATAAAATCTGTAATTTTAACTATATTTGTGGAAATGTGTGTCCCTACATATTTTTGCAATTGGATGCTAGTTCAAAGCTTTGTAAATCTTTTTCATGAATGTGATGAAAGTAAACAAATAAAAACTCATTACAGCAATAGCGAGACAATTATAGCAGAGGAAGCTTTAATGGTTTGGTTTGCTCCCTGCAGGAGGAAGGGGACATTCTTCGTCTCCCAGGTGGTTCTGACGCCAAAGGCGAGCACTGTGATGAAGGGCGTGGCAAGTGGATTGAGGGAGACAATTACAGAAAGGTAAAAAAACTTGTAAAAAGAATGTTTCATTTTAATGTCCAATGAAACAACATCACAATGTGCAAACATGCAGGTTTAGCACCAGCGATGAGACATAGCCAGTGAGCAAACCCACTGGCGCTCTTGGACAGAAGCTGTTGCAACACCTAAGGCTTCAAAAGTGACTTCTTTTACATAAAACAACAGGAAGTAATGAGATGCACACACACCAGCTGTTGTGGCATTTAATAACTTATTAAGATGCATGTTTGTTTCTGCAGGTTCCCCTAGGCGTTCGGCACTGGCCTCATTTGAGTTATTTTTCTGTTATGAAGAAAAACAGATGCTATCTGTTGTCCAGGGTATCTGCAGGTTTAAGGGAGCCAAATTTAAGACTTTTTAAGGCCATTTTGACCAAATTTAAGCAATTTTTAAACTTAAATTTAAGCTACAATTTCCAGCTATTGCCTGGAACCGGGGCTAACCAGGTCGCCAACGTGGGATAAGCCGTCCAGTTACCATTAAACTTGCACTTCCCCATGGCGCGAGCTCCCACTAGCTTAACCAGCTAATGTGCTCATCTAAAAATGGTAAAATGGTAAAATGGCCTGTATTTGATATAGCGCCTTCTAGAGTCCTGGAACCCCTCAAGGCGCTTTACAACACAACCAGTCACATTCACACACTGGTGGGGATGAGCTACGATGTAGCCACAGCTGCCCTGGGGTGCACTGACAGAGGCGAGGCTGCCGAGCACTGGCGCCACCGGTCCCTCCGACCACCACCAGCAGGCAATGTGGGTTAAGTGTCTTGCCCAAGGACACAACGACAGCGACAGACTGAGCGGGGCTCGAACCTGCAACCTTCCGATTACGGAGCGAGCACTTAACTCCTGTGCCACCGTCACCCCCTTTCACAACCAACTGAACGTGTACGGTTCTGCTTACGCCAATATTGTACACAAAAAATGCTGAACACTAACTAGAAATTCATGAAAATTTTATAGAAATAAAAGAATCTTGTTTATTGGGTCTTTGGACATTTTAGACCTTTGGATGCTGTATTTTAAGGATTATTTGTCATTTTAAAGGATTTTTAAGGCCTTAAATTTGGAAAAGCAAATGTAAGACTTAAGTACCCACGGATACCCTGGTTGTCCTTTCTCTTCCCATGCCCTCTCTGTTTTCACTCACAACTTTTTTTTTTCCAGCCTCTTAATATCACCGGTTTGTTAAAAGCCTCAACAGCAAAACCATCGATTTCCCTGGCATGAATTATTCATTTGATAATTCCACTATCAGCCATTCTCACCAGGCGTTTAGCTACTTTGATGTATGCATCCTTCAATGTTCCAAGCCATCGTTTTACTGGTCTGGGACCCGGTCTTGCAGGAAAGCGGGAACGCTGGGAGAAAGCTGGTTGTTCTCATGTAAAAAGGGATGTAGGGCATCTGCAGGGCGTCTGCAGGGCGTCTGCAGGGCCGACGCCCTTCCCTGTTACTCGCCTCACACGAACATGTCCGGCGAGCGTTTAGCGTGCCCTTCTCACAGCCAGACACCAGCTGTGAGAAGGACACAGCCAGACATCACAAGCTGCATCAGAGAGGTCTTTTATCACTGCCCTCCCTTCTGTGAGATAAACCATGAATCATTTTCACCCCTGTCTCACTCTGTACCTCTTTTTTTTTTTCCACGTTTGTTTTCCATAAACGTATGCTCCCAGGGCGCTGCCGGGCATGATGCAGTGGATCCGATCACAGCGACCTGGAGAAAGCGGCATCAACATCATCACCGCAGATTTCGTCGAGCTCGGAGAATTCATCAGCGCCGTCATCAGCCTCAACTACCATCACCTGGAAGACGACGACGACGACGCAACCTGAACGCCCACACGGGGGCGTCAGAGGGCGCGGCCTCCACCTCGAGTAGGAGTACTCGGGTCTGTGCTCTCACCATTATCTCTTTGGCGTTTATTTCAGGTGGGAAGCTGCACCGCTCCTTTCACTTTATTTAGGGCTATAGTGGACAGAAGGATGGCGAGAAGCGAGGAGTTGAAGCTGGTTAAAATTGATTGTTTGGTTGGAGCTCTACGGGAAGGAGTTTGGTTTGTTTCCTGTTTCGGGGATCAGAATCTTTGACATTTCTGTTGTTTTTCCAGGTTTGCTGTAAAAAAGAAATCCTGCTTTCCTCTCTGATCAGATGCACCATTTCCTGGCTCTGTTAAACACAGATTCCTGTAGGGCGTAGTAACTCTCTGCTAATTGTACTTTTACATAAGTCTTGATATTATAGTGACAGTAACAGTTTGTTAGAGGATGTTTAAGTAAATATATGTAATTGAAACTGTTGGCTGGTGTAAGTAGCTAGCTTTCGTATGTCCAGTTTGGAAAATCAGTCCGCGTGGAGTCTTTTTATTTTCCAGAAGGTATACACCCATGCAGGCGCGTTCCACACAGGAAAAAAATCACCCCGAGCAGCTTTAGTGTTTAAAATCTGTTGTTTCGATGTTTTCATTCCTACGACGACGAAAAATAACTACTTCCATTTTTTTCTGTCCCTGTAGCATTAATCTCCAGTTACTTCTTTCACTCTGTAACTGAAGTCCGATTGCAGCCAAGACATTTATCAGGCAGTTCCGGATGAAAACTGTAGGTTGATTGATTCAAACCAACGATTCCAAGCCGCAGAGGAAGAGCAAGCCAGATTGCATTTTGGCCAGATGGGGGGGAAAGCACCAATCATGTTGTTATAGACGTATTTTATCCAGCTGCACTTCATAATTGTCACTTTTATGGCGTGTTTGAAAATATATGACAAGCATCAACTCTCACTGCAGGAAAGGCACTAAATGCAGCCAGCCATTTCTAATGGTTAGCATGAAACATTCATTGCGGTACGTTGTGGTTTCTGAGTCGTGACAGAAGAATGAGAAAATGCATCATATTTGGGTATGACAGTGTCTGTCTTCTCCTTTCGCTGCTAGCTTGCTTTTTCTGTGTTTTATTTTGGTGTGTCGTGCGTGTGAGTCACCATGAGATGCATCACCCTCATGGTGTCTCTCATAACAGGTGATAAAACTTCTCAACAGCAACTTCATTTAATTCAAATGTGAGAAGGGTAAACACCACGGGTCAGCAACAGAGCTTCGATAGGTGAGATCAATCTGCGGCGCTTACTTTAATAGAGGTCATTATGCTAAGTGCAGCACATGTCTGCACTCTATTGCTTTTGTCATATTTGGTGTATTTGTTTTATACTCTGACGTGTTTAATTCAAGATCAAAAAGCTTGTAAAAACAGAAAAAATGTGCATTTTTGCATATTATGCACAAATAAAACCCTCCTTGGTGTCAAGTATCCACCACACCTTATGATCAATGTGGCATTTTCTTTAGAGAATGTAATTTGCCAGGATGTTGTGGTCAAGTTTAGTATTGTAAAGTAAAAAAGAAAACGAAAAAAAAATAGGTGAATGTATGTGTTTTGTGGGTAACAGTGCCATTTCTATGAGTCTTATCTGAGCGACTGAGTTTCAGCCTGAAAGTCATGTTTATATTATAAGCTCCAACGGTCTCACTTCTGCGTGGTTCCACGTCATGTCAGAAGTTTCGTATCGTAGAAGGGTTTCTGCGATTAAAAATATTGCACTGCCAACAGTTTGTAAATTATTTAAAGTCATTAAGATTCTCATGACTTGTACCTGCAGTGAGCTGACAGACTCCACCTATTTTTCTGATGTGTTTGTACTCTTCACTTTGGTGCATGAAAGAAAAGCTTCTGCAAACTGCAGTACACCAATAGGATCCATGAGGATTGCTGTTATTTACTGTCTCTAAACAGCATGTGTGCATCTAAAAAATGAAAAAAAAAATGTCCTCCCTTTAAGACAAAAAGTATTTGTTTTTCACTTGTTGCACTGGCACAACCCCACCATACCACACAGATAAGAGCATTGTGTTGTAAGGACGTTTGTCTCTTCCTTGGTCCAAACTGTTGTCATTGTGCTCATTTTCAGATGTGGGGGAAAAGGGTCCTTTGCTGTTGTAACACTCAACACCATTTAGCTGAAATTGAAGTGACTCTGTTCTAAGTGGAAAATGGCCAAACAAATAAAGCTTCTATGCCTTTGAGAGGTGTGTCATTGCAAGTTTCTGTCATAATGAGGAGTGTTCGGTTTCTTGCACATTTTATTGCAAATATTTACCAGAATGACTATAACTTCAGCGTTAAGCCTCATTCACACTGAGTGCAAAATGGATACGGCCCAGTTTCCGTACGGAAGTGAACCCCATCTGGCGACCTGCGGACCACATCCAGCCCACCAGACCTTTCCACCCAGCCCCCCAACCTTTTGGGCCCTAACATCACAGAATTGGGGGACTTTGAAGTTTATCGGCAGAATTCATGTCTTGAATATCAATAATTGTTTACATTCTCCAAACACAACTAAAACTGCAATGAAAACAGTTTAGGTGGAAAACAAAGCCATTTGAAATATTAAGAGCGTAGGATGCAATAATACTTTAATTTTATTTTAGAAGAGCATCTGGCCATCAAAGCGTTTGCTGGAACGTACAGCTTTCGGACCGCCTGTCATTAACACTGACTGTAGTTTGTGTGCTGAACATCTCCGGATATCCCACTACAGAATAGGGATGCACCGATACCAGTACCGGTATCTGTGCTGATACTGATGCCGATTCCAGTATCGGTATCGGTAAAAGTTAACCGATATCAGGAACCGATACCAATGCAGTTGCTTGAAAATGGCTTCACTGTAACTTGTCGTTTCTGTTCACCTAATATTTTAGTTTTGCGATTATTTTTATTCATATATTTTACTTTTTATCTACCTCACAGTCTTTTCCTGTTGAAAGCAGAGAAGAAAATAAAATCTGTATTCCAAATCATTGCATTTTTTTTGTGTGGTAGAAGTAATCGAGCAGATTAAAACGATGATGCCTCACACTTAGATCGTTGCCGCTGGCTTCATGTTCACCCAATCACCCGTCACATTTAGTAAAGTGAAGCCAAACTTTAGAGCGCGTTCATGTTCTTCTAGTCGGAAAATCGGAGTTCCGAGGAGAAAGCGAACACACCATTAGCAGAACGGAAGCTAACATAGCAAGCTAATGTTATCTTAAACAATTTATTTACCTACCGGAGCAGATTAAGATGAGGATGTCTCACTTAGATCGTTGTCGCTGGTTTCATCATCACCCAGTTACCCATCACATTTAGTGAAGTGGACCCAAGCTTTAGCGTGCGTTCTTTCTACCATGCTGCTCTGTTTACAACTCGCTCGCAGCGACCGACGACATAACGCTCTTGCGCATGCGCAGCTGCACACACACACGTACACATACAGAAACTATTGCAAGAGCCTTAATTAGAGCTCAGTCAGTTTGTGTAATTTCATCCAGCGGTTTACGTAAAAACGAACACGTTTATACGTGTTTGAAGCCATTATGCAGTGGAACGCTGGCAACAAAGCTCTGCCTGATCAACACTATAAATGATGAATGATCCGCACTTGTATAGCGCCTCTCAGAGTAAGGACTCCAAAGCGCATTACGCTACTGCCTATGACCGAATCACACCAGTGCTGATGTACAGCAACAACGCACTCCCTCTCGTGTGATATTGATTAATTAATAAGCTATTACATAAGGTATTAACTACTGCTTAACCATATTATGTGATGCATTACAAATTGGACGACCCCCCACCCACCCTTTGTCCTAACCTCATGGATATTACTGTTAATAAATGGACCCATTGTTTAATAATGCTTAATATGCAGTAAGTAATGCTAATACAGGGACACTTACTCTAAAGTGTTAAATGGTGCATTTCTGATTAATTGTGATTAATATTTCAGTATTATGGTTTATTCCAGTACCGGGATGATGGGAGACTGTTCATGCTGATTTTATAATAATTGATCGGATTTCAAATACAAATTTTCTGAGGCAGTCCAACCGTTAGGAATTATAAGTGCAATTCAGCTGCATAAATTCCATGCATATGTCGCAAAACGTTTTCCTGAAACCACCTTTTCCCCTCGGCATTTTAAATTTAAATGTTACTCAAGTTTGAGTCATTCCTTGTCAAAAGTACAAGGATCCTGTTGACCGAGGGAAAGGAGTCACATGCGCTTCCAGAGAGATGCAGGTTGCAGACCCGTGGGATATTTGAAAACATCAGTACTCTAATTATCGCAACAAAAGATGAATTGGAATTCAATGCACAGATGGAAGGACTTTGGCTCTTAAGCGGATTTCCAGCTTTAGGGCTAGCCCACCAGGATCTCACTCCCTGTCTGTGCAGAATCCTAAAAATCATCCTGTTTCCACGGTGATGAGCATGGAGACGGGTGGGCGCCTGGGGTGACCTCGACGCTCGTCTTTCAACAGCAGCCAGGTGTCGAATCAAACCTCAGATGCTCAAAGAATCATTGTTCTTGTGTGTTGAATCCTATTTTAGTTCAATCAACCCACTTAAGGTTTTTCCTGGAGTATTTCTCACCTACTGAACTGATTTAGTAACAGAATAATGCTGTTTTGCTCTCAGTGGGCAGAGTCACAGTTATGAGCAATTAGCACAAGTCTATCCCTGGAAGCTGCTTACTATGATAACAGTGTTAATGATGATAACCACATTAAAACCAGATGAGTATTGCTTGCACACTTTCTACGATCTCTCTTTTTCACAAAATAGTAGATCATGGTAAACTGTTACATCAGACCACCTCAGGTCATTAATAACGCTGAACGTGCGCTCGTACAGCAAAGAGAACATGCACAAGAAGCCTTTTGCTGGAAAAAATAAGAATGCAAATCCAGTCGTGTGTGTGCATGCCAGTGTCTTTCTCTGTCACACACACACACACACAGCAGTGAAGAGGAGGTAAAGGTGTGGGAGGCAGAGATGGATGATGGCATTCAGACAGTTTAAAGAGGGGCAGTGGTGAGATGTGCAGTTTTATAAAAGTTTGGAGAGTGTGGAGGAGGACGAGTCGTTTAACCAGACACTTCTGTTTCTACTCTGAAGGTGCACACGTATGGGACGACAACCGAGCTGCCAAAAAAGTGTGTAAGTTTTGTTTTTGCCACACAGGCCCATTTTTAAAAATGAAACAATAATAAAAAACAATCACAAGGAAGTGTTTTTAATTATTTCAGCTTGAAATGAGTGCAACACGGTGTGTTTAGGGACTCGTGAATAGTCGATCCTCGATTCACGATTATGTAACCAATCAACCAATAACTAGTCAGTACATTGTTCTCTGAATTAGAACAGAGTAGGAGTGTTTTTTTTAAGTTATAATAGTTCTCTGGATAAAAAAAACATGTTCATGAAGTTTTTTGCACATAATCCCTCTCATATAAAGAGATGTCAGAAGATTTATTCTCGACATTTCCAGTACCTTCCAGAATGAGCTGTTTCAAAGCTCTGTTACTTTAAGAAAACAAGCTGGAGCTGAGCCTGCCAACCCATCCCCACTAATGCTGCTATAAGCTGAGAAGCTCCTGTGGCAAGGTGGAGAAACAAGGGCCCGGGCGGGATTCGATTCCCGGACTCCCAGGTGAGAGTCGCACGTGCTAACCAGTCAGCCAAAGGGATTTCTCCGTGGCCAAGTAACCAGGGCACATGATCAATTGGGATACAGTGCAGGATGCTCACCCTGTCACACTCCCATATCTGGGAGGGGCTCAGATTAGAGCCGCTGCTCCTCAAGCAGCAGCTCTCTCGCACGTGAGGTAGATTTTTTCTACTTCCCTCATTTGCGACATCATAAACTGACATTTTATTTTTGTTGCGGCTTGTCATAGGCCCATGATTCCTAAGCAAAACACCAGGGTTGTCATGTTGAGCTGTAGGAGTTGGTGGACCACGTGGAGCTGACCAGGAGGCAGGAATGCAGGCACGGATAAAGTAAAAATGGGTTTAATGACAGGATACGGTAGGAACGAGAACAACACGACATACAACAATGATCTGACAAAGACTGGCACAAGGAGGGAGGTATAAATACACAGGGAAATCAGGAACACATGGGCAGGTTAACGAGGGGCAGGTGAAAACAATAAGGGCTAATCAGGGCAGGAGAGAGACACAGTCAGGAAGGCAGGGGCAGAACGTGACAGTACCAATAGGCGGAGGCTTGGGTGAAGGGAAGCGGACATGGAGCAGGAAGACCAGCCCTACCACCCCGGAGAATGTTGGCGTGCATGGGGGTTTTACCTCCATCAAAAACTCCATGAAAAGCAGCTTCCGTGAAAAAACAGGATGGGGCAGAACAGCAGGAGAGGAGAATGGGTTTGACCACCCCGGGAACAAATAGGATGCGCCGAAACCCCCTCAATGGGTCAGACCACCCCGGAAACAGGTAGGATGCGCCAAAAAAAACCCTCGAGTCAGAATCTCCCCCAGCTGAAAGGGAAAAAAAAAGAAAAAATAATCCTCCAGAAACAGATGTTGCAGAGCTCACCACAGGTCCAGGTTGGTCAGATCATTCTGTCATGTTGAGCTGTAGGAGTTGGTGGACCATGTGTGGTGGAACTGGCCAGGAGGCAGGAATGCAGGCACGGATAAAGTAAAAATGGGTTTAATGACAGGATACGGTAGGAACGAGAACAACACGACATACAACAATGATCTGACAAAGACTGGCACAAGGAGGGAGGTATAAATACACAGGGAAATCAGGAACACATGGGCAGGTTAACGAGGGGCAGGTGAGAACAATAAGGGCTAATCAGGGCAGGAGAGAGACACAGTCAGGAAGGCAGGGGCAGAACGTGACAAGGGTTTGAATTACAGGGGAGCTAAGGGGAGCCCGACTCACCCAAAAGGATGGTGGGCTCCCCTGGAAGCCCTAAACTTTTACACCCAGAAAAACTAAGATGCTGGTTCAGCCTATATTACATTATTTACTGCCCCCTAGGAAAATAGCAGAAGTAAAAAAAAAAAAAACATCATCACTTACAAGAAGCTCACTGGGCTCCCCCGGAAGCCTATGTGTGATTCGTAGTCTGTGAAACACTGAGAGAAAAGAAATGGACCAGTTTATTTCACATTTAGAGTGTTTATAGAAGCAGTAGAGACCCACAGGACAGCACAAAAA